GTAGCGAGTTGTGAGTGTAAAATGTCAGTGTGGTGTACTCAATGGCTTAAGGGGTCAGCATGGGTGTGTCAGTTTTTTTGTCTTAGAAACCAGTCTGATAAAAATGAATCGACCGCAATCAAATGGTGGACTTGGTTGGCCTGGTCAGTTACCAAAGTAGCGTCCGATTCCGATCCGTACATATAAGAGAGCAGACAAATGCAAAAAATGGGAACACACCTATAGCGCACATGCACTTGGAAACGGACCATATCCACACTTTCAGGGAATAACAAGCGACACTAGGAACTTACCTCAACAGAAAAGTAAAAGCTGATTGAAGGCGATTGACCATTCCAGGACCGCACCCGCTGCTGGTTTAGATTGGGGAACTATTTTTGAAACTACTACATTTTCCTTTGGTGCAGCACTTGAAATTTGCTGATGATGAAGGAAAATTATCAAAGTCCACTCAAACAATATGCAATACAATGCACAGTGGCTTTTTTCACAGCTAGGAGGAACAGCGGTTTTTATAGTTTATGCAGCACAATGAAGGTAAAAACAATGAAGTGACCGAGGCAAAGATGTATAGGCATTTGAGGAAAAAAATGGTGTTCATCCAAGGATCAAGAATGCTCGGGAAGATGCCATTTGTGCGCTGATACAGTTTCCTCGACTATGCTATGAAGTCTGGCCACCATTTCCTGTACACGTTTTTCGTCATCTGATGTACCTTTGCGAATGACTCCAGTTTGTAGCCAAAGTCCCACTGCGAACACCGTTTGACCAGAGATTAGGGGTAATGTGCGATGATAGTCTTTCTGAAATTTTTAAATTTTTTTTGTTCAATTTGAAAATGCTTTTCTAAATGTTAGTTGGGTAATTTGTGGGTAGATGATTAGTAAGCTTTCAGCACAGCATCTCTACATGGAATAAGAGTCAAAATGATGGAAGACTAGCGGAACAGAAGGTAGCATGGGTGTTCAGTGCATGCCTACCGAATTGCGGCAGATTAGGTCAAAATGAACATTTTTAAGATCACTCTTGTTTATAAATCAGTAACTTGGTGTGTGGGTGCGTCGGTATGTCCGTCCGCAAAACTTTGTGATTACGGTAAAGGTGTGATTTCTCATATACAAAGCAGTAACTTGTGGGTAGGTTAATGGAGTAGAGTGAGTTCTGCGAGCAAAGTGAGTAACGATTAAGTAAACTTTGGGCATTGTTACAAACCCGTCTAAGGGATGCCCCCAGCATTTGACTCCTATTCAGAATCGTAGCGGTGTATTGGATAAGTATGTGGTCTATACAATGGCTTGCGTTGGCCACCCGACAGATTGGTACATGGCTTTAGCCTTTCGGACGGATTGAGTACCAACTGAGCGAGGGATGGAAGGTTTCGTTAGCTTCGGCAAATATAAATACGGGATTCGAATCCATGACCATGCGCATGTGATAAAGCACCACTGGCTATTACACCACATCATGCATTTTCAATATATTGTTATCGAAATCAATCACGGCTTAGAATATACCAAAAACCTTCATGAATTGCATATTTGTTATGAATTCCCTATAAGAAAATACAATTTACTACTATGTTGGTTCTTTAGGGCAGGTTGTCTGCTGAAAGGAAGTTTTGGCTCTAATGGCGTTATATGACGTTAATTCGACGAAAAACATCTTGGAGATGGCACACTGATAGCTTGGAAATTGCTCAAAAGCTGCTCCTCTACTTCATAGGCATACGAAGCACACCTCATGCCCTTTCCTGGTTGCAAGCCCTCCTGACCGCGATGGTCAGAGCATTTTTCCTATACACAATATGCAGAACCGAGGTGGTGAATGGTATCAGTGCCTCTGGGGAATATCATATGGCGGAGAATCGTACGATCTTTTTATGCGTTCTGGGATGCAAGCTTACGATTAGCACAAACTCTGTTCCAGCACGAGCAGTCAGTTCGGTACTAAAAACAGTTTCCGACAGAATGGGCCGCAAATTCTACACTCGCTTCAAGCTTCTCGTGCTCTTTTCTGCTCGCTGCTACGTGGACAGGACAGGTGCCACCCATCGCGCAATGCCACTCTGCACAAGGTGACTACATAAACGTCGGCTTTGTGACAGCCGGGTACACTCGCCCACATTTTGGTAGGTGATGCCTCTGAGGCACATGGCGGCGGTTAATTAGCTGGCATGTTGCGGTCCCTCTTCCTTGTCCTTGGCCTATATCACTACAGTTGTAGCGACCCTAAAACCTGATAAGTCCCACAAAGAATATACATATATTGGTATCATCGGGTATGACTTAACAGTATATACGCTACTCGTTATTTCGTCGACCGCTTCCTTCGATATAACAGTTTTAGCGTTCTTCATACAGCTAATCGCTATGCGATTACTACTTGGCATGATTCTACTGTTAGTTCTTTTGTTCCTGAATTTCTTATTTGCTGCTGCATTCTGCTACATTCTTTCGGGCGCGGCGCACGGCGCAATTTCATTCTTAGTGCACCACACCTCTGTGGTGTAATTTAACAAAAGCATCTCGTTATGGAAGAGTTTTACGGTAATCTGCTCAGAAAGTAACATGCTCTATAATAAACGCCGTGAGTGCTTACGTGGCGTTGACGCACCGCGCTCAACGCTCAACGCTCAGTACTCCACGCTCTACGCTCTATGCGTAACGCTGTTTTTTTAGAGCTCCCTATTAGTTATATTCAACTGACGCTTGCTTATGATTTTCCAATTAAGGACGATAGTGACTTGCATTTTGGTTTATCGCTCCAATCACTCACCTTCGACCATACACTTGCATCAAAAAAAGAGATTCACCTCTAGGTCCTCAAAAGTGAACGGTATCCTTATGCCCTTTTCCGTTAGTTTTGTTTGCATTTTCTTGAAATAGTATTCCAGAAGGGGTCGTGTCATCCTCTTCCGTCGCTCCACACTGGAGCACGTAACTAGCACTCGTAGAAGATCCTCTGTCTGAAATTCGGTTTTTTTGCCGCTTTATGTGAGGTCATTTTTAAACCAGTGGGGTTTCTTGTTTTTTGTCTGAAAAGCTTACCAGTGAACCGGCATGGCACAGCGACCAGTCGATAATTGCTGCTAGTTCGTCACCTCTCCAAAGAATATTCGCAGTCCACAAATCACCATGAACGTAGGTTCGAAGAAGTCCTACAATAGTGCCAATTACCATGAGCCTTTCCTGTAATTCGTTAGATATGTTGTGATGCTCCAAGGAACGAATTCCTTTCCTGACGTCTCTGCTCCGGGATTCTTGGGAATATTTTGGGAAAAAGGATTCCAGACGTGTAGTACATAAGTTACCTTAGGGATATAGCGTGTCAACGAGTGGCTCAGTTTTGCCTAGGATTTCTCGACGAATTTAAACAAAAGTCGAGTACAAGAAGCATTCCGAAGGGATCGATCATTGTGTGATTCAATCTTACCTTTTCAAAAAATACTGTTGTCTCTTTCCTTCTCAGTTTTTTTTCTTCCTGGCCTAAGAGCGGATGGTTCTTTTTCATTTGAATGTACTTTGAGAACGGATATAAGCGAACCTTCTTTTTTGTAACGTTGTAGTTCATCTATGAACCACATTTGATTCCGGGTATAGTTGTCATGCAACAGCGTAAGTCCACTTTTCAGCTGTGGGTCCTGTGTCATGAATAGTCCCCTCATCAATTCGTACATTTCCACATACTGTTTGTAACTCTCGGTCATTTCCTAGGAATTCATACGATTACAGTCACATTGTAGAGAAGCTTCTCGGAGTAAAGCTGCAACACGGTTTTCGCAGTAACATGATTACCTTGGCTTCCATTCCAAGTGTTTTCCAGTCGTCATGTGTGAAGCAATACACGTGTAGTGCAACAAGCTGGTCGACAACTTTGTATAACTGTAAGAATCGTAATCAGAAAAAATAAAAAAAAAACCTTTATCATCTAGAGGTTCTATTGTTGTCGATTCCACCACTGAACAGCTCGAAAGAATGTTTTTTACGGACTACATCAGAATCGTAGTTTTTATTTCAGTCTTCCGCATCATACGGGGCTGGGTCCTAAGTTAAGAGGCCACCGGTCGCGTTTCTCACAGATTAAGAAACCCCACAGAATGGAGCTGAAAATCTATGGTAGCCGTATTTTTTGCGACAGTTGTATCCATTTAGGAGCATCTGACTCGAATACGAGAGCGAAAAACTGCATTCTCCCTACAGAGACCCTGTTGAATAGTTAAAGGCACCGTTCAAGGTGAAAAAAGGTATTGAGTTCTCACCTTATTAATACTCAGCGGCCCCCATGGGTTGTAGAAGGGACCCTCTCACTCACCCAATCTCGACGTCCAGAGCATAGTGGCAGCTCAGTTGTTGCCGTAGTTCGCGTGCCCGCCCCTCGATCGGTGTCACATTAGACCAGTGTCGATATTGCTATTATTCGTTCTAGGACCCACGCGCAATCAGCTAATTGTCGAGTGATGAGGAGACGTTTTTCTCACATTCTTTTTTCCTCTGCTTTTCTTTTTGCTGCCGCGATCCCTTATCTAATTTCCTACTCCTAGAGACTGAAAAAGGTGAGCTACTTTTGCTGTCACTAGGGTTTTTTTGTTTATTTATGGTCATAAGTGAATGAATTTTTGCTTGCCATTGTCTGTTATTCGCACCAGGACCCACACGCGCGCAGTGAAACGCACTGTTTAGCTCGTCCGGGAGCCCCACCTTCTTCATTTTTCTCGTTTCATTCACGCCCAGCACCCTTTTTAACGTTTTTTCGAAGCTTTTTTTTTCACTTTGGAAACACCGATGCACGCAGTTTCTTCACCTCAGTCGTACTAGTTTCGATCTTGCGTTCCATTTTTCATCATAATCTGGATTACCCAAAATTGTCGTGAACGGTGCCCTTAAGAAGGTTGTTCGCTCAGAGGATTAAGAGCATGAATCGTATTCTGGAGGATCCAATAACCCTAAAGTGACTGCACCACCAATGACATCTTGACACAAACCTGCTCATCATTAAATCCATCTACGAGATCATAAACTTTACTCGGGTGGATATCCTCCATAAGTATGCAAGGCATCGCCGACGAGTATGATAACGAGCCGTAAATGGATGGTATCGCCAGTCCTTCACAACGACCTAAACTGATCCAATGGTACTGTTTGTAGCAATCGAAAAAGGAATACATATATATACTATACCATATACCCGTACTACAAAGATGGTCTCGATCACTACAGCTTTTATTTTGCAGAAGGATGGGAAGCAAGCAAAACAAGCAGTAGTCATCCTACTGTTTCTTTAAAAACACTGCTTCCTCCCTAATTTTGAATGATCGAAATTCCCACATGATAACTTCGGGCCTCCGAAATTCTAAAACGACGGCCAGTTCTAAAAACACTGGCTTGGAAAAGGCAACCAAATCTGTCATGTATGAAACCAATTAAAAGCTGAAAGAACTCCTCGGAGAGGAGTAGGGACGGCTCATCATTGTACTAATTAATCATATGAATATGAAGGTGAACATCAAATTGAACTAACATAAGTGATATGTACTGTATCGCAACACTAACGATTTAAGGTCTAGAAAGGACATTACACATAGGTTTTTTTCATCGAGTCAACAATCGTAACACTTACCCTTACTTAACATTGCATAGGAGGCGATTTCAATTTCGTGAACCATTTGTAGGAGATCAGCATTTGCTGAGGCTGAGGTTGGAGGAGCTGTGCCACACGTATCTTTATAGTTTTTCTGGAGCGATTCAGCAGTAGGGATCTGGAGTACTATTAATTAAGTTGTTGTGAGCATACCATCAGAACTGCTAACGGTTTAAGCTACGGACACTTTCGTTCTTCTTCTCTTCTACATGAAGAGAGGCAGAGCTTAGGTCGTCTGTCGATCAAAATTATTTTATCTTCCCACTGTGTTTCATTACTTGCATTTTACCTTCATCTCAAATAAAGGCAATCTGTTAAATGGAGAGAAAAAAACAACCTTGGCTATGACTGTGCGCGGAAGGTTTTGGGAGTTGCTCGGCCACGTCAAATGAAGTCGAACAATGTTGGACATATATCCAGTAATGTCACCCAGGAACTCATCCTTAAACAGAATTTTGTTTGTTTACCCGAAAATTGATACGACACCTGTAAAGGTATGCATGCAAGCCTCACATAGGGTTTGTTGAGTGTAACTGTGCTGAACCCAAGGCTAGTGGTCTCCTCTATATGGGTCCTACAACCTTGCTACGCACAAAGATTTCTAGACAGGATTATATTCTGACGGTGTCTGTGGGGAACCCTTTCGACAGCAATAGGATAGTGGGTTATCGAATTCGGGCGCAAACTATCCCCGATACTCATTCCATTCCCGTCGTGATCTAGAGTAAACTCTTCAATACAACAGTGTTATGGGGCTGATTGCAAATGTAATACTGCAAGACGTCTAGACGCTTCTGACACCGAAGAGGTACTAAAGACCTTAATCTCTGTTTACTAGTGGTTGGGTTGTCCACAGAGCTTAGGAGGGAGAAGTTACATCCCACCAAGGAACCACAATTAAGGTTCTCAACTCTGCTCATAAGCGTTAGGGAGTTTGAAAAAAAACTGATCCAAGAATAGCAAAGGAAGAGAGATCAATGCCCATGGAAGGCGAACAGAGTCGGACGGGATCAGCTATTCGGAAACGTTTAGTCCAGGAAGTAGATGAGTTGCAGCCAGCAAACGAAGAAGGATATTAATGGTAGGTGAGATGCACATCGAGCAAGGTTGGGCGAAAAGCTAAAATGACAAAATTGGCAGCAACTAAAAGCAGAGGATACGCTCGTGGTAATCGGGTCATGGGCAAAATTGAGTTGACCCTATCCCTACTGTTCTGGATCGAAATTTTTCGACTCTTTAATGTCTCGNCAAAGCGAGAGACCAGATGAGTAGAAAAGCTCGACAATCGAAGGAAATAGTTCATTTTCTTTTCAAAAGTATGATATGTTATATGTCTTGTATATGAATAGCTGGAGAATTTTCTGCCGCGTAAAATGCGATGTAAAATGTACAACAGTTTTTTTTCAGAAATCACCGACCTCCCAGTAATGTGATCATTCGATTCGGTCCCTCTTATCTTTAACTTCAGTGCTGCAGTTTCTTTTGTATCGAATTTCATTCAAAAACAATAGTCACCAAGAAAGATAACTCTCATTCGCGTACTGTGCTCCCTTCTGACGCATTAGCATGTGCGTTGGACCTTCAAACTAACCGATAAAGGATAGTAGGAATAGGAATTCCCGCATGCATATTTGAGGTCTGCTTTTTGTCCATCGCACCACCCCGTTACGAGATTAGTGAACAGAGTCTCGGAGCAGAGCACCTATTCTTCCACCACCAGAATGTCGCGGAGCATTTCACATCGAGTTTGATGAATCTATTTTACAAAACTTTGTGACCCTTGTTTCACAGTTTTGTTCGTGGCAATGACGGGAGCCGTGTCTCCGAAGAAGGCGACCTGTACGGGGCTGACTTTCCAGCCTTTCGGAGCGAAGCAGCGAATAGTGCTAAGCACAATAATGTAGAGGCCTGCTGTGGAAGTTCGGAATCTTTTGCAGTACGTCGTCACCCGGAGCTGTCTTCACCTGCACCAATTCCTCTACGGCATGCTCTGACCGGTTCCCCTTCAACAATAAAGCACACCAAGCAACTCGAGGGAAAAAAACATAACCCGAAGCAAACTCGAGTATCGAGGGCAAAATCGAGGTCAAAGGCAGAGTTTGCCTCCGAGCTCACGTGGTCGCGAGTAAGAACGCGGCAAACTTTGATAGCAGTCTCGCCGCCTCGAACAGCAAATACCGTAATCACCAAGAGTGGTCTCGCCACAATCAATTATGTCTGACATATGCCTTACGCTGGTTTATGTTGACTGTTGAGAAACAGTGTATACAATAGAAGCAGGCCCGTCTCTGGCTAATAACCGAATCCGTAAGAGCTCTTGCTCTCAAACATTGTTTGTATTTGTTTATGCCCCATATCTACAATGAGTTGCGAAGTCAGCACATTAGAAAAATTTATTGTTTCCATGACCCCATAAGACTCTGGATTGTTGAGAAAGTTGGGGTTCAGAAATATCCTCTGGGGATTGCATGACTCAAAATATCTGATGGGAAGTGGGAATCAAAATGACTGTCAACATTTTGTTTCGTGAATGTAAAGTGCAATTAGAGGATGCCCCATCTAGTGTTCAGCGCAAAACTGATCTGTGTGAAAGGAATTATGATATGCCACCAACTTGCAGAAGCGTCAAGCTTTCGACTGCATTCTCAGCAGCAATC